CAATCAGGTCCTGGCACACACGCGAACTGTCACTATCTGAACCAGCATACCGCACTCCTCGAAGTCGGTAGCATATCGGCCAACTGCTGCCAAGCTGTTGGCCTTGGCTCAACAGCTCTGTCTAGGCTAGGGCCTCCTACCACGGCACGCGTCTTCCGGCAACGCAAGACTCGTCTGTACCGAAGGTTGGGAAACCCGAGCTCCCCACAGTGTCCGATGAAGACCTTGGAACCGTGTCTTCCGACCGCTGTTGGCTCTCCCAGGCACTGACTCACTGCTGGAGCCAATTGACACTACCCTACCCATGCGCACGAGTTATGTGTTTATTGCGGCTTTGTCACATTTTCCCTGAAGGCATAGGCTCACTGGTTTGTGGGATACAGAAACGGAGTGCACCAAAGATCTGCTAAAGAGATCTTCACATGCGGCTTGGCCGACAGTGCTCACCTTTTGAGAAACCAAATTAACGGGCCTACCTCTCCGGAGCAATTCTCCTAATGGCTCGATGCCCACAGAAACGGGAACTTGCTCGCACCTGCAGGTGTTGAAGGATATCTTGAGAACTTCATATGCTTGCAGCGAGTTGCACACAACAGCATGCGAGCTCTGCCAAGAAATAAACATGAAAGAGCCCCCTCAGTCACGAGTGCACTGGTTGCCGAAGTGTTTCTTCAGCTACCATCGCACGGCGTCCTCGGCAATCAATGGACGCAATTGAAGCAGCACCTGCACATGCATTCCAACAACAGCACCTGCTTGCTGACCAAGGGCCAAAGACTCGCCTTTCTCCTCCCATGCTTTACAAATTACATGCTTCACAAGAACAGATCGAAGTCCAATCACCCTCAGACGGTCAGACAGCATCTGTAATAAGAAGCTCGAGGTAAATCAGACTTGCGTTATCTGCTCCAAAACGTGTCCCCGCTTCCTTGGCCAGCCTGGGCTCGAGATCATTGCTGACACTTAGCAGTGGTTTTGTGATGTAGCAGCTTCCAGACTCGTCTTTGCGGGACTTTGAGGCCGATGTCTGTCTATCATCGCCAGGGCACTGCAACAGATCCGAAACAGTTGTGACCTTGAGCACGTCCTGCAAGAAGCGAAATAAGATGTCACGGGGCGCCACAAGATATAATAGTATGGTATGTGATAGTATAGGACATTCAAACGTAGGAACTGCAAGGCATGGCTCCTGAGGATTGTCAGTGGTCATAATGAGGAAGCAGTCGCAGAACCGCTGAAGCAATTGCGCCTCTGAAAGCTCAGCAGCCAAGCAAGCATCCCTATCTCCATTCCCGATCCTTCACATGCCGTGGCTGAGAAATCAAACAACTCAACAGCGCTGATGAATAATTCATGGCAGACACTTGATGCAAAGAAGGCACTCGGTCCAAGGCCCAGAGGTAAGATTTTGACAAGCCATAGTGCCTTGGATCGCCGTGAGGATTGGACGCAAAGCGTGTACACAGCCAGGACCAGAAGCCCTGGACAACTGGTGCGATGAAGTCACGAAAGAACGGACCGCAAAGTCCGGTCATCGAGCTTGCTAACAAGGTTAGGCAGCTTCTGCTCCTTGGCTGCAAGCCCGGCGTTGCAATCCTGAATGTGGAAGGCGGATGTCGGCTTGACTGGATGCAGGCTGGCGGCTCGGTCGAGTGCAAAGATGCCTTCCCCATCTCGCATTGCCCTTCATGCAGAAGCGTTGGCAAGACTTCGTCGGGACGTTTGCGCACGCATGCAAAAGCTGAAAGGCTCGCAAGACAGGCTGGCCTCATGAAGTCAATGAACCTTGGCTTCGGAAACACTCCAATAATTTTTCTGCCCCCTACCAATCAGCTTCGTCCTGACATGCCATAATCCCATGATGAGCAAGGCGAACGGTGACGCAGCGTCAGAAGACCCGGTAATGATGAAGTTCCTCTCAACCAAAGTCGAAAGCGCAGTACGACGACACGCTCACATCGAGCAGAATATGTCCAAACCCTGCTCTCCCCGTCGCTGCATATTCACCACTGCCAATGCTGCGCATGGAGCTCATGGAAGTCCAGGCTGCCTGATGCATCCTGGCAGGCACGGCCAATTGATGAACGGGCCGAGAACACAAACATCTGGCAAACGACCATGCGATAAAAATACTGGCCAAACCTTGCTCCTAATGCTGCCTGAGCGATGCGATTCTGCAGTGGCCACGGTCTCGGGCTACAACGATGCTCCAGCTTCACATGTCCTTATCCAGCTGGCGCCAGGTGTCATCAAAAGCCTGCATCAGGGGGCACACCGCACACCTCGAGCAAGAAGGCTCCCAGCGGGGAAGCTCTAGCCACGATGCCCTCACCTGCCAGGTGGCCTTGTGCCTCGGTTCGCTCCAGCTCTGATCTGGGGCAGATCCGATCGATGCCGCCAAGCGACTGAATTATGTTGAGGCACTGCCGGACCTGACAGAAACGACTCAAGGCCTGAGAATCACTCAGCTCCCTCTTCTGCCTCGTTCATTTCCAGTCGGCCGGAGTTGTCCACATCCAAGTGCTCGAAGATGGCGCGGAAGTTCCCTCGGCATTGTCTGCATTCTCTGCATGCTCGGCTCTGAGCGGCTCTTGCAAAAACTTCTGGCCCAGGAGCCAAGTTCGACTTCAGTGAAGCCCCGGGCAACAGCATAACTTAGAGGCGGCGCGGCGCAATCGCAACACAAAATGAATCTGCAACGACACACGCTGGCTCGCTTCTTCTGCAATGACAAGCAGCTCAACTTCGGACTCGTAGCCTGAGCTCTCTCTACGACAGAGTTAACAGAGGTACATGACAATTCGGGATGTTGTGCATGCTAGCTTCACATGACTTCTGCTCCACACATCTTTGCCTGCCCATGCATCAGCCTAGCTGCGCAGGCTGGCGAAACGCTCTTCAATTCTTTGCACCAGTTCCTGTCACTACTGCGTTTTTTCCCGACTGAAATTGTCCATACCGTTGGAACCCTCTCTATGGCGCAGGGCCTTAAACTCCCCGAAGTCAATCACCTCAGCAGTCGTGCGAACGACTGAATGGCAAGCTGCAATCACCAGCGGCACTGTTAAGACAGTTTGTTCCAAGAGACGCCATTTCCGTCCACATCCGTAGACTGGATCAGCTGGCGTACCTCTTCCTGCTCTTTGCCTTCCATCAGAGTTCATCTGGACCTACTCTCGCCCTTTGAATGGAAACCTATGCTAGACAGGCTCGAGAATAGAGCGGCTGAATGCACGCCCAGAGGCGGCTGCGCGGACAGCAGCCGGTCTCCTGCACACGCTTGTAGAAGGAAGCAAGTTCCACGCGAACAAGTGAGGAGAAGTCAAAAAAGTTAGCATTTCTGCCAGCGCCACTCTTCGACGCATGCTGCCAAAAGCAGCGCGCAGCACCGTGAGCGAAGGGATATTGCTTACATTCGACCCTTGATTGCTAGAGGACCTCCTGTCAGTCTGCCCACTCAGGAGCCAAGAAACAAGCATCCACAGCACTGTGATTATCCCTTCAGGCATCTCGCGAGGCATGCCAAGCAGAAACTTCAACAACCAACTTACCAGGCAGTAAACAGCAAAGGGCGCAGTCGCGTCACGACTTTTTGCCGTCACATTCTGGACATACCAACTTCAAAGATTCCAAGCCCCAGGAAGAGGGAGGAAGAGAGAGAGAGAGAGTGAAGGATGGGTCCGGAATGGAATTTGAAAGGAAGGAGGGACTGGGACAGAGAGTGTGCGTGTGTGCGTACCTGCCACTTTGGGAGGGTGGATACTAGACTACTAGACATGTCACTGCGTGCCCCACATCCTCCAGCAATTGGTTGAGCTCTTTCATGTCCAAGTGGCCGTTCCCATCCTCGGCACGCAGGCACGGGACTTTCCTACAAGCACGCAGGCACTGATGCGACCTTGCACTTCGCGGTGTGGGGGCCGGCCTTGTCAAGCCGTGCGAAATGCTCAGTCAGCTCCGTGAGACGCTGCTCGTCGTTGAAAGTTCGCACATTCCTGTGCAAGAGCTGCAATGATTCCCAAGCGAACTGCGCGTGCGCATTGGACCCTTGCTATTGCAACTCGACCGAAAAAACCGGCCTCAGGAATGTTAGAAAATCCTCGAAATTCAGTTCTGTCTGAGCATACACATGGTCTTCCGAATCTATCGGAACCAGGAACTGCTTGATCTCCTCTTTCTGCCACTGCTCCCGTGGCATCATTCCGAGCTCATACACGGCAAGGAAGGCCTCATTTGCAGAAACGACGCCAATTGGCCCAACATCCCCAGACAATCGTCGAAAGACCTCGTAGATCTGGGGGATGCTCTCCCTGCACTCTTGGAAGAGATCAGACCGCACCCTCATCTCGACAAGAATCTCGATCTCGCGCTGCCGCAGTTGGCGATTTGTTCGCTCTCGGCAGCCCATTACACATTGCTCAAACGAATCAAAGTCGACCAAAGTGTCAGATTCCACCGAGAAATCGTTATCTTTCAACGCATCCAACATGTGCAGCTGGTCCATTTTCAGGCACCGCGCAATCTCCAAGCACTTTAACACCGATATTGCGCCGGTTCCCTCCCTGTCGAAATTGCAGAAGTATCGCATGACCTTGGCAGTAGGGGCGACAGGGGAGCTGAGGCTCCAAACAGGCCCAATTTAATCACGAAGCACCACCGGGCAGTGTTGCACAGCGCAGTTTGCGAATGCAATGCTATTCGGCTTCGACACGAGAGTTGTTGGATATGTTGGTTTTCGCAGGTCCTGAATTGTTGCCCATCTCTTGGCGGTCAGTCCATGGACGATACCCCTAGGGCTTCGCCAGCTCTAAGTACACCAAAACCTGTAGCCGACGTAAGTCATCATACCTTTTTATGATATTCTATGATGTTATACTATACTATACAACATTACTTTACATAATATTGTGTTATGTTATGTTCTTAATTATTACATAGTATGTATACTGTTCATTCATTGCTGGCGAAAGCTGGGCCAGGCTCCAAATTGGCCATGGCCAAGGGAGAGGCCAAAACACGGGCCGTTATTTGCACAGCCATCGCTCCTTGATTATACCATACTATAGTAGACTAGACTATACTATAATATACTATCGTATAATATAATATAATGTCTATAAGTCTATAATACAATACAGAATATACAGCAAATAATGTAATGCATAATCTTATCTAATGCAAAAAGTTTCCATCTTCGCAAAAGCCGCTGTTGTGCTTTGCAGCTCCGTCAAGCGCTGCCGAACTTTCGGCACCAAGAGGGCGGCGAAGGTCATGAAGTCGAAGCGCATGTCCTCTCCCGGGGACTCCACCCCGACCTCGAAGTCCTCGCTGCCAGACTCGTCGGAGACGGTGCCTTGAGATGAAGCAAAGCTGCTTCGCCGGCTCCCCGAGGCTCTCTTCCCATCCTCAGTGGATTGGAGGGCAGACTGCCTGGTTTTAAGCGAGAAGAGTCCTGAAGTCGCCCAACGAGACTGTTGGCAAGCGGGCAAGTGGCGCCGCGCGCCTGCTTTGCATCTCCTGCCCGCTCTCAAGTCACGGAATCTGAAAGACTACGGCTATAAAAGTTGAACACAGGCACTGTAGCTGGCGCTCGGACAAAGGGAAACCTCAGCCAGCTGTTCAACGTGCGCGACTGCGCTCCTGCTTTCGGAGACTGCTGTGGTGCCGCTGCTTTTTTGACCTCAAGTTTAATGCGTGGCTGGCCCTGCATTCGGGACCGCTGCGCATTCAGAACCTGCAGGGCGAGTGGCGATGCTGACTCAACTGCACCGAACGGTCATGCGAGTGCATGCTGCCTGCCTGCTGCAGACTATCTGCTTGCCGTCGATGAAGAGACTGTACGCGCGTGGCTGTCATGACATTGCGACAGACCTGCATGATCTCCTTAGCTTCCGCAAACATCTGAGCATCGTGCAAAGGATGGGAAGCATGCGCTTAGAAGCAAAAAGTTCGGCGGCTGCGACGAGGCGGCTCTCTTCTCGATCGCGTTCGATCCGGAGAGCCCTAACTCCTCAAACATCTGGTGGTTGATACATGTTACACATGAGTTGCACATGAGGGGCCAGAGACCAGAAGAAAACTGTGCGTTTGGACCCAAGTGACTCGCAGAGCTGGCACGATCTCGTCGTAATCGAGATATCCAGACAGGTCGGCGTCATAATGGAAAAACGCACGTTCCACGGCCTCGCGCTCCTTGCCGGGAAGGTGCTCGTATTTCCTCAAACAGGACGTCTGACTGACTGCACGGTGAACTCAAAGACGATACCCACGCTAGGCTCTAGAACTCTAGATCAGGTGGGATGTCAACAACACACACACAGTCACAGGAAAAGTAAAGACTCGACTGCCATCTGGCGAGAAGCTTTTGAGCATCGATCCCTGCGCGTTGGTTCTGCACCTTTTCCCGTATCCGGTGCAGTCGGCGCTGAAGTACCTCACGCATCTGCCGCCTGGTCTCGGCAGCATCAGCCTCGTTGGTGGCAAATTCCGCGCAGTTCTTCACAGCTCGAGGCATTCGCTCAGTGTCTTGTAATTAACGCAACAGTCGGAGTCCGCAGCTAACTATTTCAGTCTTCCTGTAATATTTGTACTTTAGGCCTAAACCCTGACCCATCCAACGAAATACATGACTTAATGTGCTAACTGGCCAGTTAGTATAGGTGAACTGGCAACAATCACCATGGTTTGGTGAAGGGGTGGAGGCGTTTCGTTGGAGGGTGCACTTGCACAAGAACTTCCGGGAGAGCTTCTTATTACTTGGAAGAAGGGCCTAGGTCTCACCCTGTAGAGATTTCATCCGCGAGGCTGAGTCGAGGGGTGGCGGCTTCACGGCTGCGCTCGCGGCGTGGCTCGTGCTGGCGCTTATCGGCGTCTCTGGAGCGTAGCCTCGTGAGGGTTGAACTGCGAGTACTTTCTGGCGGGGGGGTGATCCGTACCAAAAAAAAGTACAGTAGAAAGAGCTGAAAACGTTCTTGCACGTCCAGGTTCCGCCCTGAACAGATTTGGGGGAAGCAGGCATCGAGGCGTCTGGTTCTGGCTCTGAGTCACCAAGGCCCGACAGTGCCGACGAAAAGGAAGCTGCGCTCGCCGGCTGTGCAGGTTTCCTCGCCTTCTTTGGCTCACTCGCCTGGTTCCGCTTCTGGTCACGCGCCTCGTCAGAGCTGTCGGGCTTTTCCGGGCGAGGCTTCGCGTCTGCCTTCGCCTCGGCTTTCGCCTCTGCCTTCTCCGGCTTCGCTTCCGGCTTCGGCGGTAGCCGCCTGCGCGGCGGCTTTTCGGCTACCTGGTTCACCTGCGGCTCCTTAGGAGCTCGGCTGCGAGTGGCCGGTGCCGATGCATCTCGGCTGGATTGTCTGCCTTCCTTGCCTTCCTTGCCTTCCCTAGATTTCGCCTTTGGAGACGGTCTCGGCCGAGCCTCCTCGAATCCTCTGGAGCCTGTGCCGCAGCTCCGGCTGCTCCCCGGCAAGGAAGAAGTTGACTCGGCGCAGGCATCGCCTGCTCCCTTTAACTTGGGAAGCAGCTTCCGAGAACCATGCAACCCTTTCCGATCCTTTGACTTGCCAAGGGTGCGCTTGTCATCCACCTGCCCAGGAAGCTTCGGTGAAAAAAAAGCTTCCTCACTCCTGGAATTGTGTGGTTTCTTCATGCGCTCCAGCAAGCACCGCCATTGAGCGGGTGCTGGACGGCGCGAGCTGCACAGATGAGCCCGAACAGCTGCGGCGGATTTCCGAAACTGCTCCAAAAACTCATCAGGTCTATCGTCGCCTATCACTGGAACTAGAAACACAGGAAATGGTCACATCCGCGTTCGGCAACATCCCACGAACATGGCCGTTTGCTCACATCTCCCTGTGTATAGGTCGTGCCGTGTTTGAGTCGGAGCTCAAGTCTGCGCTGTGCCAAAGCCGCTCCAAGACTCGGGCTCCAATTTCCTGTCTGCTGGACCTCGGCAATGGTTGACGAAGCTTCCACCTTCTCATCATATCCAGTTTTTGCACACAAAGCATTTTATGTAATTGCTACCAGGCTGGATTCCGGGCTTTCTCCTACTGTACAATCCTCGGCTCCCATCTGGCCACCGTTCCTGCAGGCTGTCAGGTAACATGTGCCCTGCTTGCGCACATGTTACAATTACAGCTGCCCAGGCGACTCCAACAAGTAAGC